TAAATAAATTATGGAAATTTATCTTTTTGAAGATTATTATACTATGGAAATCTTTGCAGTGACCGACAAAAAGCATTGAACAGCTTTTTCATCCTTTTTGGGTCTCGTCAGCAATGCATTCTTTTTGTTTCCCTGTCAGGACTCGAACCGTGAACCTTCGGATGGGGACTTCAAACCCTTACCACTGAGCTACACGGTCAACTGTCATCACCTGGTGCGAATGCTTCAATAAACTTAGACAGTGAATGTTCGGATAAGCCCACTCGGTTTTTTACAGGCACCAGGATCTGTTGATGATCTTGATAGGGACACAAAAAGTATGCACTACTGACGAGTCCCAAACAGGACGAAACAGCTTTCCATTGCTCTTTGTCGGTGACTACAAAGATCTCCATTGTATTTAAATGCATTTCACTGGTGAGGAATTAGCGATCTCCCAAGGAGTGAAACCCGCCCCAAGGTTATCAACAACGCCCGGTGTCTGTGAAAAAATCCATTAGGCTTATTCAAGAATTCACTGTCTTAATTATTATACTATTGTTTGAACTCAAACGTGTGTGGAATACAGATTGAATGATGACTAGGTGCGGTGCATCCAGAAAAAAGTTTCATTCACACGTTGCGCAGCCATCTAGCACCTCAGTTTCTTGAACTGACTGAAAACACTGCTTTCCCGTCACAACTTTAAATGGAAGACATGGATTACACAATGGATCCATGAGCATTGCATTGCATTTGTACATGTACATTCTGTGGCGATTTCTATATTCAGTGAAATAGCGAACTTAAGACGAGGGTAAAGTTGAGAATAATAACATCTACAACGTGGAAAACGTCAACTAATATTGGGAAATCAAACGTCACGCTTTCACATCTGCCTATGTTACATGAAGCTAACAATACTATACATCAAACAATTGTGATACCATTTATTAAGTGTCTGTAATGTAAAAGCCCACCAAACAGGCATGCATGCATGGCACTGAACAGATGGATCAAGTCATTTAATCACAATCTGGTGATGTTATCAGTTTCTGGAAATCCTGATAACAATTTGTTTTCATGTTAGTTGATTCGACTGCAACTCGAGGCTGTGTCATGTAGTCTAAATTATTACAATGTGTCAACAGGGAGCAGTTGTTGCGAATCAAAAGTGTTGTTTTAACCCTTTTCGATCGCTAGCCGAATCTGACCAGCAAAATTACTGCATATAGAACATCAGTATTGAAGCACAAGCGCCAGGGAGAACTCCGCGCTAATAGACGAACACAATGGACCACTTAAACGACTGAAAGTGAATTGAAATATTGTATTGCTACAATCCAGCAATGGTTTCGAGGTAGTGGCGATGAATAAATCAAGATACAGGGAAACATGGTGCATATTTTACGGGGCGAAACTAATCTATAGTCTGATACTATTCCATATGATCAAATTTAATTAGTGAGGAAAATCAGTCTGAAACTGGGAACACTGACTCAGGCGAACACGACCTATGCAAACAGCAACAACGGTTGGTCACACCAATCTTGTCTTGGTAACTGACACTGACCCCCTTCGTTTTCTTCTGTTTTCGGTTTTCCTTTCTTATTAGCAATCTGGCCTCTGTTTTACTTCCTAGATTTCTCTGACTCNTGGACTCAGACATGAGCGAATTATATTTATTGTGGGGGAGTAGCGGAGAATTGAATCTGACCATATATGATGAATTAGTCACGTAAACGAAGTGCGAACTGAAAAAAAAACTAGGAAGCACTGTACAGCTATTTATCAGCAGTGGGAAACTATCGATCCAACTGGGGCTCGAAATCAGACCCTGACGGTTCAAAAGTAAGCACAAATTTTCTACATTTCACACACGTCTGACGCCAGACAGTGTGCCAAACAAATCATGGTACTATAGCCTTTATAAAAAAGAAAAGCGTTTCATGATTTGCATATGAGCTGAATACTGCCAGGTTGCCCAGACCAAGGCAACTGAATTTTCTGGAGGAATCCAAAAGCATGCATACTGCTTACTCGACCACCGGGCAGACCATTTTTCTTTTGGAACATATACGATATAGCACCCGTTTTGATGAGCGCTGTGGTACCATAACTCACAACGAAATCAGGAGCGCATGGAATTCAGATGAATACAGTCCCGGATGAGTCGTCAACTTGAAACAACCTAACGTGTGTTCTCTAACGCCGTTTGTGCCTGTCCGTATGAGGTGCTACACACTGCACATAGTTTAGATTTCTACCGGCAGCACACCAATAATGACTTGATTACTTCGCGTCTACACTTCCACATCTAGCTTTAGTTCGGTCACTCTGTGATACCGACTCGAATACCGTTTTCGTATGGTAAAAGAGGTTGTCACCAATACACCCTTTGGAGATTTTGGTCATGTCATCAAACCAGTAACCTTCGTTCCAATTGTAAGCTACACCTAAAGCTCACAATCAAAACGACGGTTACTGTCTTGATGACCAAGATCTCCAAAGAGTGTATTGATGGCAAACTCTTTTACCATACAAAAACGGCGTCGAACTTGAATCCGTAACATAGGGTGATCGGATTAGGGCTAGATGTGGTCGTCAACCTGTGTGGGGTCGGATTGAGTGTACAGAGCATACACCTCATCGATAGATTCTGGACAAATTTCCAAGTCTGTAGGGGGTGAAACGCTTTATCTATTAAAGAGAAATTAAGAGGAAACATGCAAAATTTATCTTCCGGAAAAGTCAGGAAATGTCTACGAATTACCATGATTGATAAAAAGTTGTTTAATTTGCAATTTGAGTTGGCGTCCTAACGGACATTTCAATCGCTGTTGTGTTAACGAATATAATCCCTAACACAAATGAAGTGACTAAGCTGTTCAGTTTGTCTTTAGATTATCACATTTTCAACCGCGAATATCACTTGTCCTCGCACATCTATCGGTTACTTTGGGTTTTAACGATCGGTCGATCAAAACGTACCCATTGTTTACGTTTGACNGACAGCATCAACAATCTTGATTAGATCCTGCTCCCAAATCGAACTGGCCGCTTCCAGAACCGCTGTTACCTCGAAATTCCACACACGTCGCAATTCGGCTATACGGTGCCGCATCTCAAAAGCCATTTCAGCTCTGGTAAAAGCCAATTGGAGATTGAGACGTTGATTTTCTCGCTCCAACCGCGCAATCTCATTTTCCATCATCACGGCCTGGATTGGCGTAAGCGCAGGAACGATGTGCTTGGTTGTGGTACTCACATCCATCACATCAGGAAAAGCGTTCGTTGATACTTCACGATAGGCTCTCCGAGACCGTTTCCGAGTGGATTCGCAATCCGTTTGGACTTCTGTTTCGACAGTCGCGGCACTAAGTACTGGAGGTTCGCGCGAAACTGAGTGTTTCCGTTCTAAGTAACAGACAAAAAACCGATAGAGAAAGTGGAAAGAACAATCATTTTTCAATGAGCTAATCCAAACTTTAACCATCAAAATTGATTGGGCCATTCGCACAAGGTGGTAACCGTCGACCATGTAGCTGAGGGGTAAGGGTTTGAAGTCACAGTCCGAAGGATCGCGGTTCGAATCCTGACAGGGACACAAAAAGTAAGCACTGCTGGCGAGTCCCGAACAGGACGAAACAGCTGTCCAGTGCTGTTTGTCGATTGTCACAAACATTTCTATCGCAGTTAGATTTTCAACTGTTGTATCAAAACAGCACAACAAAATCTATTGAGAACTGTATTGAAGCTATCACCGTTGTTTTAAGTGCCGCATGGATTTAAAATTAGAAAAAAGATTGTCCAATGGGAAATGTTAACCTCCAACATTCGACCGATCCGAGATTGAAGTTATAGAATCTACTTAGGAGTGATTAACCGAGTAGCTGAAAGTGATCGATTCCTAAAGCCACACTCTTTCATACCATATGATGGAACAGTAACATAACTAGAGAACATGGGGTACGAAGGCGTACATGAATTTAACAACCAGTTGCCTTAACAGAACATAGGCAACGAAAATTGACTGGACAAGCCACAAGTCTTTATTTAATAAGTAGTATATGAATGATAAGACAAACTTTCCAGAAACACATGACCGGCTTCGCAGTCCTAGGCGCTTGCCAGATATGCGTATCCGGTAATCTTTTGTCTGATCATTCTCGGGGTGAATTAGGCAACGCAAATCTCATTTACAGCTCGAGGAATTGATTTGAGACAAAAAATTCTGGAAGAATCGATGTGATGACTCTGTATTAAATAACGATAAACATTGGCTCAATTTTAGGTCCGTTACCAGAGACGGAAAGTAGAGGATGTGTGTGTGTGCGTCTGCCTGCGAAATTGGCGTCGTCTAATTCACATTGGGAGTTCATGTATAATAATGCCAAGACAAATGATTAACGGATGCGTACAGGTGACGAGCGGCAATGACCGCGAA